AGTATGAAAGAACCAGTTTCACATAATTTTTTAACGATGCGCGTTCAGGCAATCAAGGTCAATGAAATCAACAGTAGATTTTATGGAGTCGATTGAATCTTGAACCATACAATCTGTTTGTGTTGAGCCACGTAAAATCTCTCCGGTTCCACCATGAGATTTTCAATATCGATCCAACTCAAAAGGCAATATTTTGCCAAATTTCAATTGAAAGCTCGAGTCAATTTATCAACTGAATCATATTAGTAATGAAAATAATTTTCCAAAGACATGTTATATTCACTCTTTCAATAATAATTTATGAGAAAAACTTTATTTGAAAATACAAAATTCTACTTGAACGATAAAAATGGCTTTACTCGAACAAAGACACAACCATGATGAAAGTTCGTTTGACCTTGCAGGTTCTAATTAAAATTTGTGGAGAGCGGTGTCAGCAGGATACGATAGAAATCAGTAGTATTAAATTCTGCTGGCACTGCTAACTCAAAATTTTAGAAGTCGTTATCTCGATAACCTAATACCGGTCAGATCATCTTGCTGACCTCATCAAAGAAAAGCAAAATTTTTTCACTGAAATTATTGGTTAGCTCGACGTCTTCTTCGACAGGGTCTTCTGGGTTTCTCCTGGAGACGAATCTTGCCTGGGTTCCAGGTACTATTCTTGTTCTTTGCGGTATCGGTGGGTTGTCTTTATTCGAAGAGGTCGAAATCACCTCTTGCGACCTCGTCGTAATTATTTCTTGCGACGGCACTTGCAGAAAATTTACAGAATCATCAAAGCGATGATGAGTGTGATTGTAAGGTACGTAAACCAAGAAATATGTTTGTTCACTACGGTTCGTTGATTAGTTTATCCAATTCATCTAAGTACTGGTTCAACTTGTGTTTGGCGATATTGGGATCACCGATTTCATTCTGGTATCGTTCAAAGAAGTATTTGGAGTGAATCCTCGTATTTCCAATGCAAGCATTGCATTCAGGCTGAAGTATCAGAAGAGAATTGAATTCAATGATTTTCGTAAGAAAATGCAATTCATGGTGACTGGTACATGATTGGATATTGATATTAGCCACAGGGTTTGAGAAATCATTTGAACGTTGTAATCTTTTACGTGGATAACTGATGATTTCAGTTTTTGGGTAGTTTCAAAATTTGTTTGAGGAGCTGGGCTTCCCAAATAACGTTGCTGTCTATCGGATATGAAAGCACTTCTACACAATTTTCAGGATATGAATAATCACTTTACAATTGTCTAAATTTTGAAAAGAAATGTACAAATCTGATTCGTCGTCTCGCGCAATGAATTTTCAATATGTTGATAATATATGGTAGGGGAGTCCCGTTCAAGTAACTAAGATTGCTATTGGATACAATGAAAAGTTGTATATATTTCAGGCTCTACAGGGGAAATATTCAAAACTCATACTACTTTGTTATCTGTTCGATATTCTTGCAATTACAAACGGTCTAATTTACCGCTATACTGACGTATAGCGATGAATTATGTTTTTCTTTGGTTACTATACAATGTGCCACTTCTCTCATCACTTTGATATGTTCAAAACGGAAGATTTCTCACGCAGTGAGAAATATCCGCCATTACAGTGAGAAATCATTTCTCACTGTTATCACGATAACCCAAGTCAGTCATGAATTGTTACATGTCAGATTGATATGACACGTTCTCCATGTTGACAACGCGACGCCGACGATTCGCGTGCAATATCTAAGTAGCCCATTGTCGGCGTTTCGATAACAACAAAACCGAAGCACTGCATAATTATTGCTGTTAATTTAACTAACAAAGATAGTTTTATTGTTGATTGTTATGGTATAAACAGCTCAGATTTATTAAATATTAAATATAATGGAATACGAAGATTCAGAGTTACAAAATACACCTAAAGAAATTGTTCAGAAAGCAATAGAGGTTGGCAAAAATTTGCTACCAAGCAAATCAAGAGAAAAATATGAAATCGATTACAGAAACTTTATGGACTGGAAAATGAAAGCCAAGGTAAATTCTTGTTCCGAAAATATCTTGCTAGTTTCTCTTGAAGAGTTTTCAAGGAGATTGAAATCATCAACATTATGGTGTCAGTACTCGATGCTGAGGAGTACCTCAATTATTGAAAACTGTATTTATATATCAAAATACGTAAAACTACGTGCTCCAAAACAGTCAAAAACATTAAATTCTGAAGAAATCCTACAAGTTTTGAAAGATGCACCTGGTGAAAAGTATTTGCTGATGAAGGTATGAATTGAAAATTTTTGAATTATTATCGAAAAATGAATGTTTGGTTTTGATTCCAGGCTGCTTTAGCTATTGAACTTACAGGGGCATGCCGTTGTGATGAACTCCGGCAATTAAAAATTGATGACATGGAAGATCTCAATTCGGCCCTTTTAATAAAATCACCCGATTGACAGTAGAATTCTACCAAATTTACTGAAAATATGTGAAACTTTGACCATACACAAATGAAACATTTTTTTTTCAATTATAAAAATATCAAATGTACGAAACAGCCTGTGGGGATAAATAAATTTGGCACCATAGCAAAAGAAATTGCGAAATGTTTGCAATTACCGAACCCTGAATTATATACTGGCCATTGTTTCCGAAGGTCATCTCGGACTATTTTAGTTAATGCAGGGGAGGATCTTTTAACTTCAAAACGCCATGGGGATTGAAAATCCAGCAATGTTGCTGAATCTTATATAGACAACTCGGTAGCTAACAAAATGAAAATTTCAAAAAGTATAGTAGAATCCATTCAGCCTCCAGCGTCATTAGAACCTGAACACAACAATGCTGTGGAAGCTCAGGACGTTTCCTCATCATCAACTTCGACCGCAGCTAATATTTCATTTACCGAAAACATGTTGAAACAAAATGACCTACCAGGAATTACTTCACAAAATTGTTCAAATACAAGTATTATTATATATGTATTTTAAATCTCAATACTTGAAAACAACGCAACCGTAGAGAAAGTACAGTGTACAATGCGTGAGAAAATGACATATTTCTCACTTGCTTGATTTGGAACAAACTTCTGCGCTCGTGAGAAATATGTCGTTTTTGTCACTTGTTGTACAATATACTATTGTTCAACGTTTGTGATATTTCCTGAAGTGAGTGAAGCTAATCCTAATCCCTCTGTTGATGTTATGAATTACCCATTTTCATTGAGCTTATATGATTGCATTGATAATATGGGCAATGGAAGTTTGAAGGAATATATAGCTTTCTATAAGTGATCAGCATATTTCTAGACTTTTCTTTTGGGCTTCGTGAAATACCATATTGTCCGATATGTTCATTAGCGATTTTTCTTTTATATCTCGTTTGAGAGTCTGTTCATCAACTTGTAATTTTTCAATAGTTGAATTGCAGTATTTGATCACCGACTTACTTACAGATCAATAGATTTTCGATTTGATATACGCCTTGACTTGATTTATTGATACAATTCGTGGAATATTCTTCATCAGCTGCGTCAAGGCTTTCGGTTATCGCTTTTAAAAAGTTCCTACACCATTTATCAGACCACGTTTTGTTCTTTTTCCTAATTTTTCTGTGTCCGTAAACATTTTTCTAGGCTCATCTCTGTCGAGAAAATAAATGAGGTTTTGTATGATCTCATCGTTGTTGCCTAGAGCAGGGTTTCTCAAAGAGGGTCACGCGTACCTCTGGGGGTACGCCATCGAGTTATAGGGGTAAGCGTTGAAGTTCACGTAATGGCGGCGGCTAAGCTGCCTGGTACGTGCGAGTAAATCAGTCGCTGCGCTCGCTAGCAAATCGCATGCGGCTGCCAATCATGGTTCGCGTGCGGCGGGGTTCGCTTCACCCTGCTTGTATAGGTACGTTAATCGACACACACGCTGTCAAAGCAAAAAAAACGTTCGGTGCAGACGTTGAGTTAACGAATGCTTTTGAACGAAAACCGGTCGTTTTTGTCTCATTCGTCATTCTGACAACAAGTGTGACAAGTTCTTTGAGGTATTGATTGGGGGTTTCGACTGATTGTTTGTTGAGAGCGTGTTTAATTGGGTCCTTGTTTTTTCGATGTTCGAAATAGGATAGTCACATTTTCTCCTACTTCCAATATGGGCTTCAAGTAGACCTGCCGGATTGGAGGCACGGATTAATTGATTCATTCGCGGTTCTAGTCCTGTTGAGAGCGAATTCAAAGCCATTGTTTCCATTTGTGCGGATTGCGTCTTTAAAATGAAAATTTTATAAAAAATTTTATTTCAGGATGAATTCCAAGATTCCTGCTGCTCTACCTTTGAGTTTGTTTATGAGATGAATCACCAATAGATCCCGTTGGTCAGCTGTAGACATGCAACATGCACAATCACAAGCATTCAAGAACGTATTCAAAAATATTTGGTCACCTTCAAATTCTGGCACTATTGAAAATATTTCAGATGATTTATATGGTTCGATTGCATCTGGTTCTGGTTAGCCATTTTGATTTTATCTTTTTGGTGTCAAACTTCGAATGACCGAACAGTAGGTATTAATATTTACAATAATTAATCGGTACGATTAATTATTGTAAATAATTGTTTTAAGTTTGACGATAGTCGTGTCACGAAGTGTTCTGGTGATGCATTTAATTTATTGGAGCCTCTGGAGACCCCCTTCATTTTGTTTTATAAGAGAGAGGACATTGTTAGATCAAGATCTTCAGATGATGTGGTGCTGCAGGTTTTTCCGGGTTTTCCTGCAGCTGAAAAAGCAAATGCGCCACTGGAATCAATGAAGTCGCCCCGGAGCGCCAATTGATTTTTATTGCTGTTTTTATTTTATTTTTATCGTTGTTTTAATGATATGTTTTCAATTATATCGGTACGATTATTGATTTCACGAAAAATTGAAAAAGATGGTGGAATCAATTGTAAAATATATTGCAAAATGAATCGGGACTATTCAATATTGACTTAAAATAATCAACTCTTCATTTCAATTCGTCATATTCTCGAAGTCGTGCAGCCAGCGGCTTCACCAGGTGTTTCTCCGCTGCTTCCTCAAGTGATGACTTGTTGGTGTTCTTGGTTCATTTTCTAATAAGGAATTAAAATCCGACGCTACTAGTTAGACTTTCCTTGTTCTAACAACGTTGTCAGATCCAACAGCGACTGCGCCAATTGTTATATTCATTCTTTCAATGACTTGTTTGAATAAAGTTTTTTTTGAAAGAGTGAATATGTAACAATGTTATGTCATGTTTTTATTGTGATTTATTTTCAGTAATATCATACCATTATTGTACGATAAGAAACATTTCTTATACATATTGGTAGTGTGAAACTCATCTCAATTAAAATTATTCCAACAATAACTAAGGGCTTTCCAATTCAGACGACATTTTTTAAAATTGTTTCTTTATTTTAATTTCTTTGATTTGTATTCCAAGAGGTGAGTCTTCCAAGACTCACCCACATATCTTTTTATGAAAATTCGGGAACACTGTTACCAAAGAGAAATCTTTTTCTGTTTTTTTAACTTTTCTGGACATTACTTTGATTTTCGATGGTGAACATGAACGTCAACATAAAAGTTCGAGAAAAACCATAATTCATCCCCTGCATTTTTGATCTAGAAAAATTGTATTTATATACTTTTCCTTGATTTCTATTCACTCAGAGATTTTTCTTGTCGTGAATTCAAAAATATTTTCCGCTAATAAAATCTATCGTTATCATTATAATATTCTCTTGTATAGTTAAACTGTTCTGTTCAGAAATTGTTGCAAAAAAGTTCTCATTATATATATCTTACAGAAAACTGTGAACGACCCAATTCAGAATAATTAAGTTTTGCAATTTTCTATCCCAATTTAAATTTTGTCACCCTCGCATATTTCGAAAGAAAATCCGATTGGACCGTCATCTGAAGTACTTTATATCTTGTTTCAGGGGGTCGCATCGACCATGCTCATCACTACAACAATGCTTATCGGGCTCTCGACGAAACGTTGGCCATGGAAACAGCACTTCTGGCTGCGTTGGCTTTAGTTAATCCTACCGAAACGTTGATTGTCGTTACGTCGGACCATTCCCACGTTTTGACGATGGGTGGCCAAGCCACCCCCAGGGGTCATCCAATTCTTGGTGAGTTGAGATACTGACGCAATTTATCAAAAGAATCATTTGTGAAAGGTAGAAGATAAAATTTCATTACAAAACCGGCGAAACACCAGCAGGGTCCATTAGATGTTGGATTATACAAGGGTTATAACTGAGAAATAGTAATTCAGTTCTCACCATGGAAAAATCAGATATTGAGTGGATGTAATCTGCATACCATGTGCATGAAAGAATATAAAGTATCTACGAACTCAAGCATATTTTCTGTTAAGTGTATGTATCATCAATACAACTCTATAAACATCATAAATAGAGAGTAGGATAGTAGAGTGTGGTGTTTTTTCTAATATTGTGGTTACATGTTTCATCAATCTGTCTATGTTTGTTTGAAGGTGGTTGACAATGTTTCGTGGTGCATTTCATTAGTTCGAACTCCTATTGTCTACTATGCTTTATATTGATTTGAAATCCTTGAAAGAATCTGGATAGGATTAAAAAGATTAGCTGAAAAATAACAATTATATCAGGCAAAGAAACTGGAATAACAATGAAATAAAATACAAGCAACAATAAAAAAATAAAAAAATAGTACTATTGATACGAGATGAAAATGAAAAAAAATATATTAATAAGCCAAGTTACTTCCCGACGTTTCGATTGTTAGTATCCAAAATCGTCTTCAAGTGACAACATGTTCTTTCAATTTATATCATATTAAACAATGGAAGTTCGAACTAATGAAATGAATCTGTCTATGGTTCCGCACACTAATCCGAATATATTTTTAAGAAAATACTTGCATTGAATCTGGCTCATCAGATTTCATGACTTCTAGAGATGTTTGAAATATTGTAGGTGATGAGTGGTATGAACAAGAAAATGATATATAGACTGCCATTAAGTCAATCACGCTCTCTACCCATATTATTGATTTCAAATTAGATTGGCTGATAATTCTCGTTGCTCATGTGAAAGTTAGGGTGATTTCAATCACGTTGTGTTGAAATGTCCTCTTTATCATTAATTTTTTTGTCTTCACCTGATGGGTCTGTCTATCACTGTGATGGGTCACACCTTCGACTCATCACAGTTAACCAGATTCATAACTAACTACGTCAGTAACTTTACCATTATTTGAATTAAAGGTGTTTATTTTCCGAAGAGATAAGTTTTTGGAAGAACGAGCTTTTTGACTTTCACTTCCATCCTTATACGAAAACTTGTAAGAAACTTCCAAAGGAAGAAAAACTGCGAATCAGTTCAAAATAAATCATATTCAAAGATGGATAGACCATGCATAGAAGTTACTTCCAGACACACACTAAAAAAAACCCTTACGAAACAATTACTTTCTCAAGATCATGAAAAAAATACTTCCAAAACAACTACTTTTATTTAAAATTGAATAAAACCAAAAACACTTTCATCTATTTGCACTACAAATATTCGTTACGGAAATCAATGAGGTATCATTTGTAGGAACACTGTTTATACGCATAGATAATATATGAAATATTTACTGCAAAATTTCACTCATATGGAACATTTTCAATTTCAATGGCGGACTTCGAAGTTTAGTATTTCCTCATCAAGACGTGTCTGAAAGATTAGGCACGAATTTCATCCAAAACACTATATTATGTCACGATGAAAGTAAGCAAAGACATTCACACGCCTATTCAACTCAATTTCAGTTATGAGTATCTTGATTGAATAGAAAGGGGTACATTTTCAGTGTGATTCAATGTTCATGTGGAACTAGTTGTTTGGAGGAGGCATTTTCTTTCGGTTTTCGTTTGAATGTTTCTTTTATGCATTATGGAAAGTCGGTAGCCGGCTTTGTTCATTCAGTCAATCGGCCAATGTGTGAGTCGATGTTTCAAGCCCCATGCTAAAAGCTCCATTTTCACTCACTATTGTCCTACTCATGTGAAAAATCACACGTTAAAAGGTAAGATCTGGTTAGTCCTTAGCTCGCACAAGCTTCGACTTCTGAAAGTTGTCGTTCATAAGGGGTGCGATAGCTGGTTAACGTATAAAACATATTTCAAAAATATTTCAAACATATTTTAAACATATTTCAAACATTTTTAAATTGAAGGGGTTATATTTTCAGGAGTGATTAATTTTCGGGAAAGATTCCCTCATCCTTTTTTTTGTATCAAGATGGAGTAGTAGAAAGCCAAAAACTTTATTTCAAACACATTTACACATCTTTGATCTGAAACTTCAGTGGAAATCTAATTGCTTTTCTTGTCACTTTTTCAAATCAAACAAGATTTCTATGGCTGAGATTATAATAAATAAGCTCATTAATGTTTTCACGTACTGTGTTCTTGACATGAGTAGATTTTTCATAATCGTGACATCAAGTCGAAATGTTATGAATGACATGATTTCTTGTAAAAATATGCATACAGATAACTAGAGACTCGCCCCGGCTCCGCACGGGTGCAATATTGATAATGAATATACATATAAACGCGTGCGATCACGAGGGCCATATTGATCTATATTAAGTGCACATGTATTCAAGGTACTCAATCGGATGAGGATTGATGTTTTTTTGCTTGAAATAGCTTCGTTGATGAGCCATTATTTCTCGATAATGAAAAATGGTTATTGTGGGTCATCCCTAAGAGATATCTTATAGACATATCTTATAAACCTTCTCAAGGTTTACATTACTTCAGTACATTTCTTGATATATCTTGTAGGGTTTTGCCGACGTTTGCAATGTGAGCGCAAATAATGTTGAATTTTATCAGTTCGGACTTCCATCGTCTGATATGATACGATTTAAAATTTCTGAAATAACAATGGAAAATTTAAATTGAAAAGAATAGCTGAAAATGAATCTGAAGAAAAATTAAGATTCGATGAAAAATCAAGCAACAAATTGAAAATTGAACAATTGAAATTGTTAAAGTTCTCTTTATTGTGTATGTCCTTAAATGTTAAAACCTTGATAATATTATGGTCGAAGCAAATTTCTTTTGTTTTTTTTATTTTTCAATTGTTCTTGTATTCAAATATTTCGCGCTGATGAAATGACTTCCACGATTCTACACATGCGCGAGATGAAGGAGAGAAGTTAGTCTTGAATTGACCACCGCAAAGGGACGAAGTTGTTTTTTCGTTCGTGAATACCCGCTTATTATAATACCCGCTTATTATCTACGTTTTGCAAGTTTGAAAGCCTTCCAGAAGCTGACGAAGACGCTCCGAACGGTTTCATCAGGTAGGTGGAAGTCTTTCCCTATTTTTAACTTAATTTATTTTTTTGAGTTTAAAAATAAAGTCAAGTTTACTATTTTCTGAACCAGCACTTTGCTGTCCATTACCGCAACAGAAATGAAATAACAAAAATAAAAATCTGAAGATTTCAAGGCAAGTTACTTCACGACGTTTCGATTGTTGGTATCCACAATCGTCTTCGGGTGATGACGCTTTCTCTTGAATCACTCTATCAAATAATAAACCCGCATCAAAATCTGTTGCGTAGTCTTAAAGATCTAAGCAAAGATAGGGACGAAAAGCGAGAAGCGACTTTGAGGATGAAAGTATCCCTTGTCGATCAAATTTATGGTAACTCCCCCATATATTACATTGTGTAGTGTTTTTCTGAATGATATGTTTTTCAGTTAGTGTCTGAAAGTAGCTTCTATGTATAGTGTACACATCTTTGTGAAAAGTTCATTTCAAATTCAGTTGATTTTTCTTTCCCTTTGGAAGTCTCCCACATTTTTTCACAGTTGTATTCCAAATATTTTTAATCATAAGTAAGCCCCCAGCATTTCCCTACTTTTCTAAATGGTTTTTTTGATCCTTGAGTTTAAGCGCCACTGGTCCTGGGTCTCATGTATGGTAGATGGTTATTTTTATTTTTTCGAATACTCGACTTTCAAATTATTTGAAATTGAAGAAAACAACAGAAATGAGAAATATTTTTTACTGTTTGTCTGAGTTTTTTCTCGTTGTGAAATTCAATGGTGTTTCTCCTTTTCAAGATATACCTCACGAACAGAATTTATTATTGAAATATTTGTGAAGCATGTCACAGAAAAAGTAAGCAAGTATTCTACTTGCGGAAACTGGTCATTACACGCTCGAATGATTCGAGGAGCATCCACGTAAAAGTAAACGAATCCATTTGAAATATATCTGCATAAATCGATATCTTTTGCTGTAGCCACAATTTTCGAAAAATTTGGATTTTCATTTTTGTTAAAAAAAAATTAAAAATATCAGAAAATATGCTACAATGTTTATTCAATTTTTGCTAAAATATTAGAAGAGTTTTTTGATATAGTGATATGGATTTGTTTGATTTTGCTTGAAATGTGAGGATTTGTACCGTTTTATTTCCGGCAGAGGTTGAACTTGCTGCATGTCTAAACAATAAGTTTTTGAAAATGATGGGAAGTCCTTCATCAATTCATAAAACATTTTTGATTCAAGTTTGTGAATTCTCTTTTTCATGATCAATTTGCTTTTTTTGCTTGGATCACTTTCCCTCCGAATGCTATTTGTTAGACGTTCACACATACCACATACAACCGTCGCGGATGACTTGAAGCCAATATTAAATTCAGTGGAAAATATTCTGTGAAACGTTGACAGTGACACTTTTGGGCATTTTGTCTCTTGAGGGTTACTTTTATATTCCGTGTAAAATTTATTTTTCGATAAATTACTATTGAGGTATATTCTATTGATTTCATACGTCCATAGTGGCTATTTTGGCTTCTTAATACCTTCAAAAACGTGCGTACTTCTTCTTTGCTACTTTGCAACTTGAGAGATAATTAATCACCTCCACGTGATTCTTTGGGAACACCACCACGCTTAAAACATTTTGCCACTTTTAGGAGCCTACTTTTGCTTAGTTTCGTGACCAACAAGAAAAACCTTTTTTAAATCCGTGGCCAAATGGATTTGTTATCTGAAAATTGTTATTGAAATTAATAATAAATAATAATTGACCTCAATATACGAATAGGCCAGCGAAATTAGCATTTTCA